TTTCACTTGTTTTGCATCAATCTTGATACAGGGTACTTATTATATGTTGTACTTTGGATTCCTAAAGCTTTTAGCCTACTAACCCATCATCCAAGGGTAGTTTTCACTATAAGTAAAAAAGAATTTTTGGACGGACACTATAATTTACAGTTTTTTACTATGTAAAATCTGAATTTTCTTTAAAATAAAAAACATCTATATTGATTCTGACTTTTCTACATCCAACTCACAGGTTTATCATTACTTTGAGAAAAAAGATTATTAATTTAACCCTTTTAGAAGGGAAGATATGGTCATTTGTTCTGGGAATGTCATTTTCGAGCCTGAGACCTGAAAAATAGGCTCAGTGCTTAACAGGTTAAATATTCATAATCATGTAAGTAAGATGTTGTTCTCAGAAGTCCAAAATAAGGAAACTCAAATCTACCTATTTCCTGTGCAACCTGAATGCAGCAGATCAACGGCTACAGGACAATGTAGGCGTACCAACAGCCGCTGGAGGGCCAATCGGATTGCAGCAGGGGCGGAGTCTGTGTGACCTGAGCTCTGCTCCACAACCAGATTAAAAAACACAGTGTGTGTGTGTCTGCTTATGAAAGGAGTTATACAATAATTATTAACGTGTTCAGCATTCTCAATCAAAACTAAAGGATAAAAACAATACAATAATCCTATGAGGCATATGTCAGGTACAAAACGATTTTTGTGTCAGTATTTCTTACTATTCGGTTTGTTCTTTGGTTCTCACATGCCACAAATAGTTGTATCTATTGACACAATGAAGCCTGTCTCAAACTAAAGGACTATACAACAGTCATATTTTTTCTGATGAAGCATAAAGCATGAGTGACCCAGTGCTCAGTGCCCTGCTCATGTGTTCACTTTATATCATACAATAACATACAAGGGGCTTCTTCTGTCCTTCCCTTGAACCCCTCCTAAAAGGATCCATGGAACTCAACATAATATTGATGAATTGCTCTTCTTCCATAACATCACATAACATTGTGGGTTTTCTGATGCTGCAGCATGATAAACTCTCGAGCTGAGACGCGACATGCCTCAATCTCGGATTTACTTTTCTCGAACAAATAATTCATCTCAATGATCAAATGGTCCTCTGGTCATACAAATAGAATGTACCAACAGTGGTTTGGACATTTTGGATATTACTAAATATTGTATGTGCTCATTGTAGCTATACAGAACGATTGTTTGGTGTGGTTGGTTCCTTTTGTCTACTGCTTGGACTAAAGCAATTACAGTACGGACTGACAGTTGAACCAGGATCTGTATACCAACTTTTGCACCTCAGCAAGGGAGAACAGTAGGGTGATGTCCAATAAAACCTTCTACAACCACTCTTTATCATCATCGACATAGAACAACAATGTAAAAATAAAATCCCTGTGGACTGTTGGTATGATGCAAACACCAAGTCTCCGGTGTCAGGGTCAGAACTCAACCATCAACCCTGACCTCCTCCATTAGAGGCTGTACAGAACTATAGACATTGTCATGTATGCACATCACGTCTGGACTTGGTTTTTCACTGACTTAAAGGTAGGGTAGGTAAGTTTGAGAAACCGGCTCGAGATACACTTTTTGTTATATTCCATGGAATGCTCTTAACATCCCGATAGCAATGAATATCTTAAGTGCTTTGACAATAAATACATTAAAACATTTCATCTGTGGAAGCCGTGGCGCTGTAAAAAGCACGACCAATCATCTGAGCCGGCCCGGCTAAAATAACTGGATGGCCTACCTGCCTGTCAGCCTTCCATCTGTGCACAAACTTATCTCGTGCCCTCATTGGTCATGTGCGCGTTCGTGTGTGTTGGAGGAGGGGCTCTGTAAGGAAGTGGCAGATTTTCTCCGGTTGTGTATTTTCAAATTCTAGCGATCTCGAGCCGGTTTCTCAAACTTACCTACCCTACCTTTAAAAGGAAACTTTAAAAATAAATGATACATTCATAATTGGGTTTGATTTATATACTTCAACAGTTTATTAAATGTTTTAAATCTTATCTTAAAAACCACGAATTATCCTAACAACAAAATATTTCACCATCACTGAAAGGACACATTCACATCAAACAAGTCCCATTGACTCTCCTATCAGGAAGCTGTGCAGTGCTGGAAGATGAAACACACTGAAACTCAACTCATACGATGACTTTAATTTAGTGTATTATGTCAACAGATTTCACATAACTGTATTAAGTTAGTTGAAAGCAATAATATTAATTTGAACAGTTTGACATAATACACTTAAAGGTAGGGTAGGTAAGAATGGAGAAACCAGCTCGAGTGCGCTATAATTTGAAAGTACGCAGCCGAAAAAAATCTGCCCCTTCCTTCAGACTTCCTTACAGAGCCCCTCCTCCAACACACACGAACGCGCACATGACCAATGAGGGTACGAGATACGTTTGTGCACGCATGGAAGGCTGACAGGCAGGTAGGCCATCCAGTTATTTTAGCCGGGCCGGATCAGATGATTGGTCGTGCTTTTTACAGCGCCACGGCTTCCACAGATGAAATGTTTTAATGTATTTATTGTCAAAGCATTTAATGTATTCATTGCTATCGGGATGTTAAGAGCATTCCATGGAATATAACAAAAAGTGTTTCTGAAGTGAATTACCTACCCTACCTTTAACTAAAGTCAAGGTTTCAGTTTGTTTAGTGCAGGGCTCGGCAACCCCTGGCACGCGTGCCAGCATTGGCACGCGGCACCGTAGCCAGTGGCACACTAGGAATAAGTCGAATAAGTGTGCAAAATATTTAAATTGTATTTTCGGATCCTGAACGAGACCGCCGCCAGAGCGCGTCTCCCCGTTACCTGCAGAAGGAAGCCATGCACGCAACGCAGCCCCCGCTCTCTTTAACTCCAGGTGACTTTCTGCCGCTTTCCTCCGTGGTGCAGTGCTGATCGTTTCACCACGGAAGAAAGCACTTCACAAATTGCAGTACCGATAAGGAGCTTTACAAATGTCGCAGTTTTTTGCGTGGCTGTGTGTGTCTTAGTTGAAAGCCCAGTGGCGATCTGCTCATCTCTCATTGAAATAATATGCTACAAAGGGGCGGACTGGCCATCTGTGTGTTGAACTTTCCTGTCGGCTCCCAGACCGTAGTCGAGGAGGGCAGAAGCAACGAGCTTCAGGTTCAATAACCCACTTTAGCTTAAATGACTGGAGAGAGGCGAGCTCTTCTTGAGAGGCCGTTGCATTTATTTAGCTGTTCTTCTGTTTCACAAAATACATCACAGACCTCTGTTTTTCTGCTGCCTCGTTTCACTTCCAGAAACATACTCACACGCACACGCCACACCCCTCTCTCTCTCTCTTAAAGGGACAGCGATCTCATCTCACTCTGCATGACCCTAATATCATAACATGTGTGTTCTGGAGAATCACAGAACGGACGATCGTCCTTATTATTATGCCGTTTAAACCAATTATTTAAATGTGTTTGTTAAATTCGGTATCATGTAAGTTGCGCTGACAGGTCCACACACTGCTTCCCCCGCAGCGAGGCCCCCCCGCCCTCCTGTTGATAGATCACGAGCGTCAAGCTCCTCAACATCCTCAACACCCCCCCCCCCGTTGATAATTCTCGATCGTTGGCACGCTGATAATTTTTTTTTTTTTAAATGGCACTTCATATCAAAAAGGTTGCCGACCCCTGGTTTAGTGCATGTAATGAATCAAAGGGATGAGGCCCATCCTAACCAATAAACAAATGCGGAATCAAAAGTGCAACCCTTCAGTCATCCACCCTCTAATCTCTAGACCAGGGGTAGCCAACACGGTGCCCTCGGGCACTTAGTCGCCCGTGGGGCATGTTTTAAAAATAGCTCGCCAAGCAAATCCAAAATGTAAATAATACACAAAACAAAAAAGGAAATGTAATTAAAAGAATCTACCCTATGCATAAACGAAACCTCAATCATAGCGAACTCTATCTACTTACTACAACTCTATATCTATCTAACACCCCTCTTCCCCCCACCCCCACAATGAATATCGACCAATCACGTTCTTGCTTGATTTGCGGGACCAGCGTTGCAGTCGGGAAGAAAAGCAATGTGGCACCTCCCCGCTGATTTTCCTTCTGGCAGAATCTACACAACACATCAGCCCCATTGAACAGCCTATCATGCCAGCCTATACAGCACATGGGGGCCAGAGTTTTACTCTGTGTGTTGCAACTTGCATATATATTTATTGCACTTGACGCACACACACGCATGGCGTAATTTCCACCTGGGACAGGGGGGAAATGTCCCCCGCTCTTTTCGAAATCCCGTTTGTGTCCCCCCACTTTACAAATATGTTTATTATTATTTTTTAGCGCAAGCCGTCATCGCCACGGAGGAGCACACAGTCTCTGTGAGCGAGCGAGACAGAGAGAGAGAGCTAGGGAGGGAGGGAGAGAGAGAGAGAGAGAGAGAGAGGGAGAGAGAGAGAGGGGGAGGGAGAGAGAGAGAGAGCTAGGGAGAGCACACCTTTATCTATTTAATATAGATAAAGTCAGAAATCATTCCAATGTGTACTATAGGACAGTAAAAAAAACAAAAAAACAGTTTGAAAGGGGAGTGATTAGTAAAATAAGCATAAATAAAAAGAAAGAATGAGGAGGTGAGGACCCCCCTAGAGGAGGTGAGGACCCCCCTAGAGGAGGTGAGGACCCCCCTCGAGGATGTGAGGTCCACCCCCAAATAAAGCAGGTTAAAATAATTAAATTGGATACATGTTCTTTTAGTAAACACTGAAAGGGGTCCCACAGACCCAAACAGCACACAAAGGTTAAAGGTCAGCATATCATCATGTTAAAATGTGCTAAATATATACACTGCAAAAAACAAAAAAAAGAGGAGTAAAAGTAGCCCCCGACTTGTTTTATTTTTTGAAAGTAGCCCTCACCCTAAAAAAGGTTGGTGACCCCTGGTCTAGACCCACCCCTCTTCAGAGGCTGATATGTGATGGTGTTACCTCCAGTAGAGCAGCACAGCCAGCAGGAGGGTGAGGCAGAGGAGGGTCAGAGCTGAGACCACCACCAGAGGAACCAGCCACTCCACACGGCTCAGCACCCCCCCAGCCCCCGGGCCTGCATGGTGGGTCAGGTTGGTCACGGCACTTGGACGGTCTGGAAGAAAATGATAGAGAAAATAATGAAGGAGAACCGTCTGCAGGCAGAAAGACAATATGACATGTCTGAAATGACAAGGGCTAAAACCAAGTTGGAATTCTAATTCTTAATGAAATTGTTAATCAGAACTGGTTTAGAGTGAATGTAACAAAGAAGTAACAATAAAGAAGAATAGGTAATAAAACAGGTAGTATTAGTGTAATAGTACCGCTTTCTATGCATGGTCATTGATTCAGGATTATATATGTTTTCCTTCATATTATAAGACAACTCTTTTACTGAACAACAGTTATATTTTAAAAGAAAAGAAACTCAAAGTCAGAAAGGTTGACACAATGCTCTCGCTCTTTTTTCAATGATGGAAACAAGTTTACCTCTGAGTACACTTATATGAAAAAAAACTACAACTACTAAACTTGTTGCTGTCTGTGTTCGTAGCAGATGGAAATTTAGCTCACGACAGAAATGTATCTGAGATCTCCAACAGTGTGGGTTGTGTGTTTGTTGTGGTCTCACACACTCTTTACAGTCAGTGTGAGCCAGCCCCAAGCTGATGAATTTCATCCTGCGTGACAAGATTTCTGACAAATGCAGTTATTAAACCATGCAGAATTACAAAGGGCAGTTGTACACATCATATAGAGTGGTGTAGGGATGACGTATTTACCCGGAAGTAAGCTGCGCATGGGTTCCCTCGACAAAAAAGCAATGGGATTTCTCCATAGGATTTTGGAAAATAGCTCGAAATAAGGTCTGTGGAAAACTAACCTGTTTGATAAATGCACGTTTTGTTCAGCCGGATAATATCCACATGTCTACCCTACTTTTATCATTTTCAAATGATAAATCTAATCGCCAGAAGCAAAATGCTAACGTTATGCTATAAACGAACTACAGCCGAGTACAGCAGCACGACTTCAACGTCACACCAACTTAAGATCGATATTCAAAGTTCGATTCAAAATTGTGAAAGTTGAAGCGCAGGTACTTGCTTTCAAGCAGAACAGGGCAAACAAACTTAGAGGAGTGTTTACGTGTTCGGCGTAATGACGTACAACGTCCTCCACAACTTCTGTAGTCCTATTCAGCCACTTGTTAACCTGTTAAGCCCTGAGCCTGTTTTTCAGGTCTCAGGCTCAAAAATGACATTCCCAGAACAAATGACCATATCTTCCCTTCTAAAAGGGTTAAATTAATAATCTTTTTTCTCAAAGTAATAATAAACCTGTGAGTTGGATGTAGAAAAGTCAGAATCAATATAGATGTTTTTTATTTTAAAGAAAATTCAGATTTTACATAGTAAAAAACTGTAAATTATAGTGTCCGTCCAAAGATTATTTTTTACTTATAGTGAAAACTACCCTTGGATGATGGTAAGGTAGACTAAAAGCTTTAGGAATCCAAAGTGCAACATATAATAAGTACCCTGTATCAAGATTGATGCAAAACAAGTTAAATCTGACCTTTTTAGAGAGATTTAGCAAAAACAAACCACTTCTGGGGTCATTTGGGTGGATTTTCCATATCTCTGGCCCCCCTTTGTCGATTTTGACGAATGAAATCTCTTTCTGACCGTTAGAGCCAATAGAATCGAAGGGGAATTTCCCCACACACACACATGGTAAAGAAAAAAGGTGGGAGCTTCGCGCATGCAGTTTTGCATCAGAGCGAACCAATCTCTCGCTCTGACATCTGGAAACGGAAAAGCAGTTTTATTGCTTATGGATTATCAGAAATCATTTCAAAGGGACACAGACACATTGCATTAACCTATGGATTAACTTCAGCAGCGTTTTTATCGTTTTAATGCCATTGAAGACCACTTTTGACCAGACTAGGACACAGGTAAGCCATGTTAGCGTTTTTAGCTACCTAGCGCCACATGTTTTGATGTCTGTTTTTGTTTATAAAGTCGCGAGTTCGTATCATTGAGTGATAATGTATGTACCCATCGATTCTGTGTCATCTCACGATCAGATCGATGAGTTGGATGTGCAGAATGGATAAATAATAAGGTTTTATGAGTGAGTTTCGGTGCAGTAAATCTGTTAGCATTTTTCGCTCGTTGCTAATTCAGAGGCTCAGCGTTAGCATTGTGGGTTTTAAAAAAAAAAATAAAATAAAAATGATCAGTTAGATGAGTTTCTTCCTGTTACATTGATATAAAACATTCATAGTTTATTAAATGAACATGCCCTCAGACACTGTTTCCTGCAAGATGTTGCGGGAGGGCCCCGGTACCGGGGTCTCTCGGGCTTAACAGGTTAACAACATTGTTTTTCAGACACGTAAACTCTTCAAAAATTACCAGTGAGGTCACTGCTGATGTATTTAATGTCGTAAAACAAAACGTGATCCGTCTCTTGACTTTGTGTCAACCACAGACCTTATTTCGCAACACAGTCTCACTCCCTGATCGTCCAATAGCGACGCTTGGTCAGGGTCCTATGGCGTGCAGTTGTGACGCACCGAGTCTCTTTCAGCTTCATAAACAGACGCTAAGAGCTTTCAACTGATTGCAATGTATTCCCATCGGCGGCGGTATTTGACGCTCAGGGAAGCACCGCATCCGTCCATGTCGGCGGCAGTTAAAGGCAATGTGAGCATCCATTCCCATTGGATAACGGATAATTTTACACCCGGAAGTAAGTATTCTCCTTTTACAGTGAAATCTGCCCTACTCATCAACTCAAAAACACCAGATTATCCTTGTAAATTACACAACATTGATTGGTTTAAATTGTGTACAATGCTTTTGTATTTTTCCCCTTCGATTCTGAGAAACAAATAGTTGTATCGGAGTTTAGGATGGCCGAAGACACTACACTACCCATAATCCTCAGCTATCGTTTGGGACTGCAGCATCCGCTTTGCTCGACAAACCCCGTGATTAGTCCTCAAGCTCTGTGATTGGTTGACCTCCGACTGTATTCCATATGAAAAAAACGTTTCGTAAAAGATCAAATCATACTTTATTCAGCAGTGCTTGCTTTACTCTTTGAAAGTCATTGTAATGAATGGTTTGGCTGCATTAAATATTACACATCTGGCTTAGTTCTTTATTTATCTACAGAGATCGGGCCTCAGAATAGACCGGAAACTATTCTTTTACCGTTCTGTTTTAATTTCACAATAAAGTTAATAGTAATATTTTGTTTGATATTATTATTTTTTATTAACTACTAGACTGCTGGGTCATGTTAAGACCATCTTTTCTGTGTTGCTGTGGGTTTTTTACATCGCTTTTGTGTTTTGACAAATATCAAAACAATATATGTGTGGATAACAAAATATATCCGTCGTAAACTAAAGCGGAAACAGCAGTATGTGTTAACACTGTAAACTTGACAGTTTTTTAACCCGCACCACCTACTGGTTAAAGCACGTTATTACACGTTTAGAGTAATTGCAATGCAGGTAGATTGTGTTGCTTTTTAATGACTTTTTTTAAATGCCTTTTTCTTAATGTCTTTTGTAAAGCACTTTGAATTGCCTTGTGTTGAAAGGTGCTGTATACATAAACTCACCTTGCCTTGCCTGCCTAAGGTCTGCTGCATGTTTTGTTGAATGTGTTATATTTGATGAAAACATTTAAATATTAAGAGTATATACAAAATAGGAGGAAAGTAGAAGGTCAATGATAGAAATATAGAATAGAAAATATCAAGAAGATACTGTAAATGATCTCTAGAATAAAACAGTTTAGTGCCGGATGTACAAAGATATTAATAGGAGGATGTGCAAAACAGACAAACTAATTAGGCTTTATTAAAACATTAAATAATACTTTAGGTTAAGGTCTTCTTAAGCCTGACAAAGTACTTAAAGTCTAATATATTGCATGGTTTGTTTTGGGACTTGACAATCAACTTTCCTGCAATGTTAAAGGTCCCATGTCATGCTTTTCCGGTTATTACCCGTCCCCTTGTGTGTTATGAAGGTTTTTATGCATGTAAACGGTCTGCAGAGTCACAAACCCTCAAAATACACCATGTAGCGAGTAAAACTCTAACATAGTCTATGCTGCCCCAAAACGCCTCGTTGGAGATTTCTCATTTTTCATTGTTTAGAGGCCACACCCTCTGCCAGCCTTTCAGGAAACAAAGCTTCCCAAACCTTTCAGCGATTCATGCCGGATATGTAGAGCGTAGGGCACTGAAGAACGATGCTGTTCCTACTTTGTTTGGACCAGCGGGAGATTCGGGTACACAACCTGCAAGTATTCATTGTTGTTTGTGTATTTATGATGTTTAAAACAAACAAGGTATCTACCACGACTGTTTAAATGGGTAAACATTTTTCGGGCTGCTAAGTTGGGATCGTGGAGAAATGCTCTCTGCAGACCCATGCTCACAGCGTTATAAACCTTTTTCTTACTCAATATCAAGCCACACTTATTGTTTTTACTTCGGCTGTGAGTGTTTGTGTGTGCTCAGGATGAGTTTCGCTTGTTCTCGCTGTATCGCCGACCCGGAAGCCTGTCTGCTCCTCGCAGCAGATCGCAGCAACGAGCCTCTCAACGTCCCGACCAATCAGAGCACACTGGGCTCACAGGGAGGGGGGGGGGGCAGGAGCTCCAACAAGCCGTTTAGGACAGAGAGTGAATACCGGTGAACACACATACTTTACAGAGATGCTGTATGAGAAACCAATGTGAGTTTGGAAAATTGCACAGTATAAATCTATTTTAGTATACCTCAACAATGGAATTATGATCAGTAGAAATGGCCATGACATGGGCCCTTAAACTATGTTGAAGCACTTATTTTAACTGATATTATACATATTAATTATACTATACTACATGGACCGATGCGGTGCTTCCCTGAGCGTCAAATACCGCCGCCGATGGGAATACATTGCAATCAGCTGAAAGCTCTTTGCGTCCGTTTATGAAGCTGAAAGAGACTCGGTGCGTCACAACTGCACGCCAAAGGACCCTGACCAAGCGTCGCTATTGGACGATCAGGGAGTGAGACTGTGTTGCGAAATAAGGTCTGTGGTTGACACAAAGTCAAGAGACGAATCACGTTTTGTTCTACGACATTAAATACATCAGCAGTGACCTCACTGGTGATTTTTGAAGAGTTTACGTGTCTGAAAAACAACGGTTGTTAACAAGTGGCTGAATAGGACTACAGAAGTTGTCGAGGACGTTGTACGTCATTATGCCGAACACGTAAACACTCCTCTAAGTTTGTTTGCCCTGTTCTGCTTGAAAGCAAGTACCTGCGCTCTTGCAAACTGTTAAAACAAACGCTTCAACTTTTACAATTTTGAATCTGTAATTTGAATATCGATCTTAAGTTGGCGTGACGTTGAAGTCGTGCTGCTGTACTCGGCTGTAGTTCGTTTATAACATAACGTTAGCATTTTGCTTCTGGCGATTAGATTTATCAATCGAAAATTATAAAAGTAGAGTAGACATGTGGAGATCAGGGAGTGAGACTGTGTTGTATTTAGAGCTATTTTCCAAAATCCTATGGAGAAATCCCATTGACTCTGAGACGAGGGAACAGGAAGTGGTAAAATGCTAACTCACTTCCGGGTTTTAGGACTCGTCACTGCACCACTCTATTGGAGGGTATACTCAAATGTCAGCACACAAACATAACAGAATAAATTGTAAAAAAAACAGTCTGAAATTCTTTTGACACTTTTATAATACTTACAGGCTGTTCCCTCATTACCTAAGTTGTTTCCCCATCCAAATTAGGCTCTATATTACAGCCTTATATTTCCTCAACCCTCTGTTCCCTAATCCCCATGTTCCCTCAGCCCCTCTCAGCAAATGCACATTGCATTTTTAACTGTTTCCTCTCTTGGCCCATGTTGAAATCTGTCTATAACTCTTTTGGGATATCAAAGGACTCATGGTTCAGGCCTCTTTTCCAGTTATATCTTCAGATTTAGGAAACAAATCTCCTTGACTTACAACAGTCTTTACCATGTGAACATTATCCAAGTTTGTCGTCTTTTTAATGGCCATTATTCTGTCAGTATTTTACCATGAATATACTGTAGCTGGCTGGCTATGTAGGAAAGCAAACCATTTAATCCTGGCTACAAGGCTCTGATTGGTCCATTGTTTCTCAAACTGAAAGAAAGAGTCATCAGTAAGAACCAGTCCTATTTATATCACAGAACAAAGCATGGAATCAGGCTGTTCAGATGTTCACACTGGAAACCTGACACAATTAAGTCTTCCCAAAAATGTAAATAAAAAATGTGCATATATTGTAAAGGGACATAGCTACTTTGCTATGCTAGTATAAACATGTCCTGGACCTACTGCATCTCTGTATCACAGATATAAAACAATATCTGGCACTGGTTAAGACAGCAAATAGGCATTCCCTTTAGCATGAGGTTGTTCGTTCTAACTGAAAATCTCAGTGCTGCAGCAAATACAAAGCAGCAGGTTTCAGAATACACACAGCACCCAGCTGTTGTTCTCCCTGAGTCCTGCACAGGAAGTGCAGCCAGATAACGGCATCACAACAACACACAGCTCCGGATAATCTGAGTCACTTCACTAAATCTACACCACGACCGTCCCCACCACCTACCCACTTCAGCCGTGCTGTTGATGGAGCTGACGCCGGCCCCCATGGCCTCAGTGTCTGCCTGGAGCCGAACACTACATCAGGCTGCAGCGCTGCACCACAGCTGGCCTGCCTCCACCCTCACTCTGCATCTCCTCCTTACATCCACACACACACACACAAACACACACACACACACACACACACACACACAGAGACGCTGCCTCTGCTCTCTTTGCCTTCTGCCTTTCTCTTACGATTATGCCAGTCTGCCAAAAATAAATAAATAAACCCTTGCCAGTAGCACACACACACCACACACACACACACACACACACACATACACACACACACACACACACACACACACATACACACACACACACACACACACACACACATACACACACACACACACACACACACACACACACATGTAACTATAAATGAGGCAGAGCTCCCCCCCCCCTGCAGCTGAGTCTAGCCTGCAAGCCTCATCTCCTCTCGCCATGTCTGAAAGTAGGCCAGCACTCAGATTAGAGCTGGAAGAGAGGGAGAGGCAGAGAGAGGATGAGGAGGCGCGTGGAGGAGAGAGAGGGGGGGGGGGGGGGCAGTGGGCAGAGGAAAGCATTATGTCTGCTCTCAGCTCCTGCTGGAACTCTGTTAACACTTTACTTTACTGAACTCTCTACATCCAATCTATCCATCACTTACTGCATTAAGATGTGTGCAAGAGGCCAGTTCCACAAGGACGTCTGCATCGTGTTCATGCTCCTGCTTCATCTTCCTCACAACAACACTGATCAGAAATATAAACTAAGCTGGTGACCTTTATATAATAAAGTTACAAGTCATGGTGACTTCGCTTAAAATAGGTAACTTTACTTTTGTCGAAGTACATCTATTTATGTGTTACAGAGTAAAAACACATGAAATATATGAAGTGTGAGAATGAACGTAAAGCAGCAGAGAGAAGCTGCAGGTGTGTGCAGATCAGAGAACAGCACACACATGCACTATGAAATACATTTGATTTAGAATGAGATGATGATGGGTTAGTGTCACCATGATTGTACTTTATCATCATTATCTATTTTGCATCTACTACAATTTATTTATTTATTTAAAGCACCAATCAAAGAAAATGTAAAGTGGCACAAATCAAACACACCTGTGATGTTGTGTGCTCAACCTTTACTTGAGTTAAATGGTTTGGCAACCGCTGTCACCTCTTGACTGCAGAACATGTCTTTGTCAATTCCCCGCCCTAACTCCATAATACACCATCAGTGTTTGCCATCAAGCTCCAGCTCTCCTCGTGTCTCCCTGAGTTTCGTCTAATATGCTCCAGAAGTTTCCATCACAAAAATCATATAATTTGTTGTAGTACAAGGATTGACGAAAGAAAATATGAATAGTCAGGGTGTTGGTTGGTATTTTGGTTGGTATGCTTATGTTTATTCCCAGTTTTAATTAAAAACTGAGATTGGTTTGGACTCATTTGAGTCTATATACATTTCCTGAACCAGCTGGTGCTTTACATTTTTTACCTCTTCATCTTAATCTTACACTAATTGCATAGCCATTTGTCTCTCATGTCCAGGAGATAAGAGTGGAGAGAATGACATTGTGATCAAAGCAGCCACTCTCATACATCTCCCTGTTATTTTACACTGAAACAAGAGAGCAGAACAAGTGGATATGATTGTACTTTTCGGGATGTTAGGAAACATTGATGAGAGTTTATTACTCTGTCAAATCGATGGTACTTTATTTATTCCCAAAAATATATGTCTCACGATCCGCCTTACCAATTTGAGCTCCTTCCAACACTGTCTGTTTTGTCAGTGTTACCTCACATCTCCTTCAGAGGTCCATTCTTCTTTTAAATGATCAAACCTTGCATGCTTTTATTTTAAAGCACGCTTTCATATCGGAACCCTAACGTATCATCCACACAGTTCCGTCGCGCTGAAGCCGGTGGGCGTGTCTGGCGCGCGACCAACAACCAATCACATGAATCTCCCGCCCCGGACACACAAGCACGCGGTTTGATTGGCTAGCGCTTGTACTGGCATATGATTTGATTGGCTGGCGCTTCCGTCGACGCTTGAAAAGTTGAACTTTTCTCAACTTTCAAAGCGAACAACTGAGGCAAAGCAACGCGACAGACCACAATGCAGTTCGGCAAAGCTTGACGTCACCCCATTCAAAGTGAATGGGAAGCGTCTCCGTTGAAGAACGCGACGGAACCGTGTGTGCGTACCGTAACAGGAGAGCGCTTGGTTCGTACTCCTGAGGACCTTATCCAGTTATTTTATTTAGTATTTATGTAAGAAGAGACTTGGTTTTCATCAAACAGATGTCAGCCAGCATCACCCAACTACTGTATTTGGACAAGTAATACAATTAGTAGAAGATAAGAAAATTGATAATTCCCCCCCCCCCCCCCCCAGTTCCTCCTGTCATGCTGTCGCTCTACAGATGATCATGCTAATTGTTTCAGACATGCAGAGAAGGGGCTCACCAGTGTGGATGGAGACAGGCCCGTGCTTCCTGTCCCCCCCTGGGCTGGGTCTGCGTGTGGCTGCCGGGTCCTTCAGGGAGGGGGGCTCTCCTGTCTGAACGGCTGCCTCTGAGGGGGTGGGGGTGTGAGGCTCAGGCAGATTGTGGGTGGACACCTCCAGGTGGGTATCTTCATCAGGAGGCGTGTTCATTAGATCTGGTTCTTTCTCCTTTGCAGTGGCGTCTGGTGTCTCGCTGGGCGTCTCTTTCACCGCTGTCCTGCTGTCCTTCCTCCCTGCTGCTCCCATACCTCCTGATCCCTTCCTCCCCTTCTTCTTGTCTTTCTCTTCTTCTTCTTCCTCCTCTTCATCCTTATCCTCTCCTTCCCTCTCTCCGTCCTCTCCTTGACCTTTGCTGTTCTCTCTGTCCTCCCCCCCGGCCTTGCTGTTATCTGTGTCTGCGGCCGTGGTGACGGCAGAAGCATCTTTGGTGGGTTTGTTAGGTTCAGAGGTGTGGCGAGCGGAGGGGGGGTTGTTGGATGGTGCTCTGCTCGGCCAAACAGAGCTGGGGAAGGAGGAGATCACTCCGCCACTGAAGCCCAGGCCGGCCAGCAAAGTACTGGTCACCACCGAGGCCACTGTCGCCTGGCTACCGCTGGAGGACGGGCCAATTCCTGTTGCCATAGAGACGAAGGAGAAGGGGATTCCTGAGGAAGTCCAAGTGGACGAGCCGGAGGAGATGGGGGCCATGTCCGCTGAGGAGGCTGGAGACACGGTGGGCTGAGAAACAAACTTTAAGGGATTAGTATTTGACATCCTCTGTTGTTGTCAGTCGACATTAATATTATTGACAGAGGTGTTAAACCTCTTAAAGTATATTTGAGGCAGAACACTCTATACTGTTATATTTGGGAATTAAAATCCATTTATCCTATTTTTGTAACCACTGCCAATCAATTAATCAAAGTGTTTTTATATAGCCCAATATCACTAATGTTACACTTGTCTCAGGGGACTTTGTACAGAATATGAATACCCCACCCTCTGTCCTTAGACCCTAACATTAAGGAAAGCTCCCAAAGAAACCCCCCAGTTAATGGGGAGAAATGTTAGAAACCTTGAGGAGAGCAACAGAGGAGGGATCCCTCTCCCAGGACAGACAGACGTGCAATAGATGTTGTGTGTAAATTAAAAAGACAATACATTTACAACATAGGTAGTACAAATGCTGGAACAAAAACAATGAATTCACTTTGAGACCTTTCTTTCCACACAGGGAAGAATAATGCTAATACACTGCTCTCTGCTGGATCAGACATGGAAAGACAATAGCAGTGATTCACGTCTGCTATCCTTACCATTCCAGTTTTCACGATCCTCGTCCCCTCAAAGATCCTTGTGGTGTTTGCTGAAAAACAGAACAGAAAGGAAGATGGGATACTCCACAGATAAAGAGCAGAGAGACAGCCAGGAAGCACTTCACTAAGACACACATGAGTGCACTGCAAGCACATTCATCACAACATGACAGTATGTAAATTCCAGGCGCTGAATATTTAATCGCAGAGCCAATAAACTGAATGTATGAAATGAATTCATCTCAAAGCCCTTCAGCTGCTTACTGCTGCTTTGCGTCTTTTCTTAACTCCTCTTTCCTTTCCTTCAGCCTGCAGCTGTTGTTATGAGCTCACATAAATAAGCTGCATATGAAAGATTTTGTGATATTATGATCAAAGGAATCCTAAATGTCAGAAATTACTGTTGGTTTACATCTTAGACAATAGCACAGCGTTTTGTGTGTGTGTGTGTGTGTGTGTGTGTGTGTGTGTGTGTGTGTGTGTGTGTGTGTGTTACCTCTGAAGAGCATGCTCTGGCTGAAGTCACTGCGCATGTCATTCATGCAGATGGCCTGCACTCTGAACAGGTACAGCACATCGGGGGAGACGGGAGAAATGAGGGCCTCCTGGAAAACACACACAACATACACACACACACAAAACCAGTAAGGGGGTGTTGCATTGATTACCAAGTAGTTAAGGCATTCTTAAGGAAAGTTTTGGGATTTAAGGATTCTTTTTTAAATATTAAAACCAATATCTGCCTTTTAAAGAAAAAAAAATCTAGTTTACATGGCATGAGTTAGAACAAGTTTATTTGTTTTGCAGGTGTCCACTACCTGTTGACTTTATTCAGCTGTTAATCAGAATCAGAATCAGAATTGGTTTTATTACCTGTAGGTTTAAACATAAGAGCAATTTGCCTTGGTATACAAAGACACAGAAAGATGAATACTTAGCAAAACAAAATAAATAAAAATAAACAGTTTTTAAAACAATTGTAAGACTATTATAACAAATTAACAATACTTACATATGACAATTACTATATACTGTATATAAAGGTGAGAGCTGTGCTGATTTAAAAGAGGTGGTGTGGAGAAGAATAGTGCAACTTGTGCAGGATTTACAATTTTAAAAAGAACAAAATGTTGTTCACATGATGTGCTTTAATGTAATGCATCATGTTTGTGGGGTGGATAAAAATCAGTGTCAGTGGGGGGGCCGGGCCTTGTTTATGAGGCCGGTAGCGGAGGGGAAGAAACTGTTCAGGTGGAGAGAGGTTTTGGTCCTGATGCAGCGCAGCCTCCTGCCAGAGGGGAGGAAACAGTTTGTGTCCAGGGTGGGAGGGGTCGGCCACTATCTTCCCGCCTCAGGGTCCTGGAGGCGTGAGGGTGAGATGAGGGTGGTGTCGTCTGAACTTCAGGAGCTTGACAGACTGGTGACTGGAGGTGCAGCTGTTGGTGTACAGGGAGAAGAGGGGAGAGAATGCAGCCTTGAGGGGAACCGGTGCTGATGGTCCGGGGGTCAGAGACGTGTTTCCCCAGCCTCACGTGCTGCTTCCTGTCAGACAGGAAGTCAGTGATCCACCTGCAGGTGGAGTCGGGCACGTGCAGCTGAGAGAGCTTGATGGTATTAAAAGTGGAGCTGAAGTCCACAAACAGGATCCCGGCGTATGTTCCTGCTGTATCATTCAATTAAAAGGTTTAGTGTTTACATATACACAACTACGGTGTAATTATGTAATGTATAAAAAACGTAGATCGCCGGTTCCTTAACAGTGACATTTACAAGACATAAAATTCATATAAAAAACAACAATAAAGATACAAAACAAAGTTCAGGTGTTTAACAGTCTTATGGCTTGTGGGATGAAACTGTCCCTGAGTCTGGTCGTTATATCTCTCACAGGCTCCCATGTATCCTAGTCATGCACGCATTCCTTCACTGAGACTTCTATAGACGTAGCCGGCCCCTGGGCGGGCCTACCTGAATGTGCGCGCACCTCACAGAAACCTACGGACAGTGGACTCACCTGTGGAGCACCCCTGTCCTTCGTGTCCGGGCTCCATTGAAGGTGACGACCCCCATGCCCGGTGTATCGAGTGTCTGGGGTCCGACCACGCGGCGGCTAACCTGGCTCCGACCGCAGTCTGCAACGCCTGTCGATTGATTCCTCGCTCCAGCCGCCATCAGAGGTTGGCGCTGTTCGAGGGGTGCTACGTCTCGCCGGTGGAGGACCCAGAGCTCGACGTGGTGGAGATGAAGGACCTCGAGCAGGGAGTGCTCTGCGTCTTAGCCATCCCAGCACCGGACGGGTCCGAGCGTCGGAGAGAGGGACGATGATGAGGACACCTCGTCGTCCGAGATCTCCGGTGACCGCCAGGAAGGCCATCAGCAGAGCGGGTCTGCGTGCAGGCTTGCCGCTCCCCTCACCGTTGCCACCGAGGCCGGTGAGCCGCCTGCGTCAGGGCTTTTACGGCCCGGCCCGTCCAGCACAGCCGGCCTTCGTTTCACCCCCCCCCCTGCCAGACATCCGGCGGTGTGTGGAGGCCACGTGGCGGCAGCCACTGAGAACGAAGGCTCCGGTGGCTACTTGGGCTGGAATCCTCAGAGTGGAGGGCCACTCGGACACGGAGTGTCCCGGTGTGCCCCCGCTGGAGGAAAGCCTAGCGGCCCATCTGCTTCTGCAGACAGCCGGGTGGGCAGAGCGGAGAAGGCCCCTGCCCCCGCTGTCGCGTGACCGTGAGAGGCTTGTATATCTGGATAAGATATTCAAGTATTTTGCTGCGCTCCCGCTCCGGCCTCCGCTCCGCCGCAGCGAAGGTACCGGCGGAGAGAGGTGATTTATACGGCCAGCCGCAGCCTCTTTCTCTCCTCGGTTACGACCGAGGGAGAGGTGAGGGAGGTGCAGATGCTGCTAAACAGAAAGCCGGTCTGAAACAGGGTGATGGAGCGGTGTTGTTGCGAGACAGCAGAGCGGGTATACATCGGGCTCCGCCCCTGTACCCATAGAGTCCAGTAGAGGGCGGAGCCTGTGAGAGATATAACGCCGGGTTATGTATGGTAACCCTTGTTATATAAGCACAGCGGAGCCCTCTACTTATGGAAGCACTGCTGTCCTATGCTGCTTGCTGAAGAGAAGTAAAGGATAGCAGTGAGGAGGCGAGGCCGCCTCTTATGCGGTGAGGTGCGCGCGCATTCAGGTAGGCCCGCCCAGGGGCCGGCTACGTCTATGGAAGTCTCAGTGAAGGAATGCGTGCATGAATAGGATACATGGGAGTATCCATAGAGTCCAGTAGAGGGCTCCGCTGTGCTTATATAACAAGGGTTACCATACGTAACCCGACATTTTAGTCCGGATGCTGCGGTACCGCCTGCCAGGCGGCAGCAGACTGAACAGTTTGTGGCTGGGGTGATGGGGGTCTTTTATAATCCGGAGGGATTTCTTCCTGAGCCGCTGGGAGTAAAGGTCCTCCATGGATGGCAGCTCCGTCCTGGTGATGTGCTGTGCAGTTTTCACCACCCCCTGTAGAGTCTTACGATTTAGGGCGGTGCAACTGCCGTACCAGGCCGTGATGCAGCCAGTCAGGATGCTCTCTATGGTGCACCTGTAGAAGGTTAGGATACTCTCTATGGTGCACCTGTAGAAGGTCAGGATACTCTCTATGGTGCACCTGTAGAAGGTTAGGATACTCTCTATGGTGCACCTGTAGAAGGTCAGGATCCTCTCTATGGTGCACCTGTAGAAGGTCAGGATGCTCTCTATGGTGCACCTGTAGAAGGTCAGGATGCTCTCTATGGTGCACCTGTAGAAGGTCAGGATCCTCTCTATGGTGCACCTGTAGAAGGTCAGGATCCTCTCTATGGTGCACCTGTAGAAGGTCAGGATCCTCTCTATGGTGCACCTGTAGAAGGTCAGGATCCTCTCTATGGTGCACCTGTAGAAGGTCAGGATGCTCTCTATGGTGCACCTGTAGAAGGTCAGGATCCTCTCTATGGTGCACCTGTAGAAGGTCAGGATCCTCTCTATGGTGCACCTGTAGAAGGTCAGGATCCTCTCTATGGTGCACCTGTAGAAGGTCAGGATCCTCTCTATGGTGCACCTGTAGAAGGTCAGGATCCTCTCTATGGTGCACCTGTAGAAGGTCAGGATGCTCTCTATGGTGCACCTGTAGAAGGTCAGGATACTCTCTATGGTGCACCTGTAGAAGGTCAGAATCCTCTCTATGGTGCACCTGTAGAAGGTCAGAATCCTCTCTATGGTGCACCTGTAGAAGGTCAGGATACTCTCTATGGTGCACCTGTAGAAGGTCAGGATACTCTCTATGATGCACCTGTAGAAGGTCAGGATACTCTCTATGGTGCACCTGTAGAAGGTCAGGATGCTCTCTATGGTGCACCTGTAGAAGGTCAGGATACTCTCTATGGTGCACCTGTAGAAGGTCAGGATAGTGACCTCTACTCTGTACGCCAGGTGGTCAGGCCGATGAAGGTCGTGTCGTCAGCAAACTTCACGATTGGTGTTGGAGGTGTGTGTGGCCACGCAGTCGTATGAACAGGGGGATACAGCCTCTGTGTACTCATCCAGACTTTGAGTAGCAGTCCTAAACACATCCCAGTCAGTACAGTCCAAACACGCCTGAAGGTCCTCCATAGCTTCACTGCTCCACTGCCTGAATGCAGGAACCAGGTGGAGCATGGCGTGGTAAGAGTGGCCCATTGCAGCGTGGGAACGGCATGGTAGGCCTCATGATGGTGGTGTAGCACTGATCCACCATAATGTGCATTTATATATATATATATTAGGGCTGTCAAGTTAACGCGTTAATAACGCGTTAACGCACAAAAAAAATTAACGCCACTAATTACTTTAACGCGATTAACGCATGTGTATTTTTTGTCCTCGGCCGCCGTAGTTTCAGAGCGCATCGAGTGTAAATACCATCGACAAGCTGATGCTGACAGCCCCGCTCCTGCCGCCCGCTTGTGGCAGACCACACTTCCACGCTCACTGGCAGGCCCGGACTGGCCATCGGGAGGACCGGGAGGACCGGGAGGGAGTGTGTATGTGTGGCGCGACTCGCGCGAGCGAGGCACACCTTACGTGTTATTGTTGTTAGCATCTGGTGCTAGCTAGCTGCGCTAACGGATATAAGGAGCTGTTTCAATGACATTTCGCCGACAACTGCGCCGAGCACTTGACTTTATGCAGGTAGCCAGACAGTGTGACATTGTACGAAAAGTCAGCACACTCAGCACGGATAGTACGCGCAACATTATTGCAGCGTCCAGGCAGCTCCCATTCGAGCATATATGCCTTGAGCAGCTGCACATAGCTCAACGATCCATCACAGTGTCTACACACACACACACACACACACACACACACCACACACACACACACACACACACACACACACACACACACACACACACACACACACACACACACACACACACACACACACACACACACACACACACACACACACACCGCAGCCTCTTTCTCTCCTCGGTTACGACCGAGGGAGAGGTGAGGGAGGTGCAGATGCTGCTAAACAGAAAGCCGGTCTGAAACAGGGTGATGGAGCGGTGTTGTTGCGAGACAGCAGAGCGGGTATAC